CGTAACTACTGGGTAGAAGTTCATCATGACTCAAATAATACCTACCTCATGAATAAGATGAATGCGATCAATCAAAGCACAAAATTGACAACTGCTCTCTTAGTTAGTACTATAAGTTATGTTCAACAAACTCTTGACGCTTTCTCAAGTGAAAAATCATTTCCAGGAAAGCATATTGTTGACCTTGACAATATTTCATTAATTCCAACGATCTCGAACCAAAATTGCACTAACAACAGATCATTTAACTTATCGTGGTCAAATACTAGTCTTAATCAGAGTAACGAAAAGGCTACTCGATTTCTGACTTATATCACTAGAAGACCTAGAAGAGGTAGACAAACTTTATCGTGAATGAACGCGATGACCACCACTCCTGCTATAACAATAACTATAGAAGATCATAATATCGAACCTAGACTAACTTTAGAGACAATCATTAATGCAAACCAATTCCTATTGATATTAATTCCACAGTGACATCACCATCAAACGAATAAGAAATATCATACCAATGATTCTATACAAAAAAAAATCAAAATTATTTATTCACAAATAGATTTGAAATTTATCTCGCCTAAAAATAATAATAAAAATTATTTTTAAAGTTGAATTATATGTTGTAGTTTGTTTTTTTTTTTAAAAAAAAAACAAAATTTATATAATATAAAGTAATATTTTTATTAAAAAAAATCTGACTCACTTTTTTTGCATACATTTTTATCGAATAACTAAGCATATCAAGATGGGTTTTAAGATTTAACCGATTTATAAATATTATTGATCTGAATTCTGATATTGATTCTGACTCTAAAAAGGTTTGATTATTTAAACCAAGCCAGGCAATTAAAAGATATACAGTTTTTTTTATTATTATTTAAAAAAAAAAAAAAAGTATAATTATATTTTTTTTTTGTAGATTTTTTGAGAACTCAACAGCCGTAAAGTTTTTTCTCAGATTTATTTATTTACTTTTTCATAACTTATAATTTTGAAAAAAATATGAGAAAGTAAAAATTTATTAAAAATTAAAAATATTTAAAATTAAGATATTTACGAGAAATTATAACAGCATTTTTTTTTATTTAATTTTTTTTACATAAAATAAAAAATTTATTGATTAATTACACTTCGTGAAACAATTTACTATGATAAATTTTATTTCACCACTATGTATATCATTCAAAACCCTTCAATTTTAAATAATGATAATAATAAATAAAAAAATTTATAAAAATTCTTTTTTTGTATTAATCTTAAATAAAATGTACTTATAATTTAAATTTATAATTAAATATTAATCATCATTTTAACCCAATTTCGCAATCTTATAATTGTTTACAAAGTTGTTAACGAAGTGAATACGATCGATCAATCCCTTTCTATTACGTCTTTAGTATTTTACTGCAAGTAAAAAAAAATATTTTATTAATTAAAAAATTGCCTTTTTTTTATTTAAAATCTCTTCATAATGTTCTATCAAATCAACTCAATTTATATCTTCGATAACGAATATGAAATGACACTCAATTGGACCATAATGAACATCGTATCTATCACATTGAGTAATCCTAACATCCTCCTACCTGGATCCACTTTAGCCCACATCATACCAACCACTCTTTAGCATTCAAATGCAATTATCACATCGACTATGCTGCAAAGACTCTATGACAGATTTCAAAATACTATTTTAGAACAATATACTCAGATCGCTTGCGTTTATTGCGGAAGGCTCCTATATCCAGAAAAAGCTTCATGGATCTTTTACAACCTATCTATCATCTACCCATTATAATAACACATTCCAAACATAACCTTATCATTCAACCCAAATACTAATCGCATTCCTGAATTAAGAATACCTACATGCGAATCATGCAAGAAGCCTACTACAAGGTTCACGTTCCCTTATTTATCAAAAAATCCTCACAGTTCCCTTGCATAAGAGGAAGCATCTCTCACTAGTTTATTTATACTATTCATTAGGAAGGATTCCAAATAGCAATCCCTTCTCAGAATACAGATGCTTGACTGGATCAATAAATTACTCTCGTAATATTAGAGCGCATGCATTATATTCTGGAATCTTAGGCATATTCATAAATTAACCAGACGATATTAATCAATCAACTGCCTCAAGATATCTAGATGATGATCTGATTCATGATCAAATTCTAAACATGCTGCAGCTTGGTTAGCGAATAATAATCCATACCTTTAACCTTATACTAACATATTAACATCACACGATGAACAAAATACAGCAAGAAATTAACCATTTTCAAAGGCAACACATCTTCCTACTGATTTTAATATCCCACCTGTAAACACTTGAGATATCATAGTTCCCAATTTGAACTTTCCAGATGAAGTTCACAATGAAGACTTCTATTACTCTAGATTAATGACAGGATTCATCCATAAAAGTGATATATTACGTATTCCTATTGCTATATATGATCCTAATCTAGAACCATTAATTTTTCCTGATCTATTTACAGATAGAAAAGGTCACTTTCATGATATATTCAATCAATCAGACATCACAGATGATGATATGGGGTAAGTGCTGGAAAAAAGAACCAAATCGACAAAAATTTTTTTTGAAATAACTAATAATCTGAACTAGATGACCAAATCTACATCTATTTTACTTAGGAACTTTTTTTTAAAAAAAAAATTTATTTGGTCCATTTTCCCAGCACTCAACCCATATGAGAGAAGAAACTTATGATAAATATATCAGACAACGATTAATGAATTATGATCCACAATAGAGGCTTCATCATCACTGGCCTTCTTGGTTATACCTACAATTAGAGAAATTGAGACATCATCAAAATACTCAACGACTTTTAAGACAAAATAATATCAATCCTAATATAAACAATCTTCTTACCGTAAGGCAATTACTCCAATCTAGTGAATATAATAGATATCTGAGATTAGATGAAACTAAAACGATTCCCCTGCCTACTTTATATGTACAGGAGATACTTACTTTCATCACAACAACTTCACCTTAATGCAATGCTAAAAAAATTTGGTCTACTATCATTATTCATAATTTTGACTATGCTGAAGGACGTTGAACTCATCTTTATAATATACTCATTAATACAGATAATAATGATCCATTATCAACAAATAGACCTTATCATTATGCAAATTATTTTGTTCACAAATTTCAATCTCTAAAAAAGGAATTATATAAAAAACCTGAACTCACAGGATTTGGCAAGATCACAAACTTTTTTGATTGAGTTGAATTTCAAAATAGGGGCGCAGCACATACTCATAGCTGTTATTGGACTGATAATTCTATTTCAGATATGATTGAAAATGATGTCATTCGCTCAACAATACCTGATTCTCTATATGAGCCTGAATTATATGCTTCTTTGATAGCTAATCAAATACATACTTGCAATCATAGATATCAAGGTCCTGCCTCACAAGGTCAGACATGTAAAAAAGGTTTTCCGCGTCCTTACAGTCAAATAACTCATTATCAAGAAGGAGCTTCCCGTTATATTTATAAATGTTTAACTGATGCAGATTCATGGGTAATCCCTTATGATCCTGCTATTCTCTTATTATGGGATGCTCACATGAATATTCAGTATATAACTGATAGAGGGTTCACTCGATATATGGTAAAATATATCATTAAAAGAGAACCCTTTCATGTATTTAACATACAAGATGGAGACACATTAAGAGAAGATGTGATCACATGAAGACTCAACTCTATGGAATTGATGTTTTTGCTTTTAGGTCATCAAATCTGTAATTCATCAAGTACTGTAAAATTCCTCATCACTGAACTTCCTAATACAAGATCTCGTCTAGTACTTCCTATCTATTTAATATATGAAGAAGATGAAAACCCTTATTATGACAATACCATAATCAAATATATAGCATGACCTATCTTTTCTGAATTTGATCCACTTACCTATCTTCAATATTTTGAAAGATATTTGATCTCTCCTTCAAAACCTTTAACTAATTGATCGATCTTTCATGATCAATTGAATAATTATGTTGTAAAATGATCTAAAGAAATAATAGTAAGATATTGTTTTCTTAAATTTCAAGATGCTGAATTATACTTATATCAGAAACTTTTTCTTACTATATCTGCAAGAAATGAATCTGATTATAGAATAGGACCAATGGAACATACTGACAAAAATTTTTGTTATTATTTTCTGATTCCTTGATGACCTTACAGATCTAAACTACAAATAACCATCACTCATGTATCACTTATCTTAATAATCAATTTGCCAAAATGCTAGACAGATTGCTACAATCATTACACCAAAAACTCCCAATAACAATTCAGGATATTATAAGATTACGATTGAAAAATATCAAAATGCTTTCTCACTTATTACTTGAAACTGCTATATTTGATCTACCAGAAGATTAGTATTATGTCTTATCAATAATCTCTTCATATCTTGACCCAAATGATAGTATCAAATGGTTATATTATTTTATTACAGGTTCTACAGGAATGGGTAAATCATATATCATAAACCTACTGATAAATACTCTTAAACAGAAATAATCCAAATATCTTCTCCTGGCTCCTACTGGTATTACCGCCCAAAATGTAGGAGGAAGAACTATCCATTCTGCATTGCAGATTATTTCAAATTATGATAACTTTCATATACGTGCATATATTGATAAAGAATTAAATGAATCATTAAAAGCAATTGATACTATCATCATCGAAGAAATTTCAATGGTTTAGCACAGCTCTTTGATTTTATATCTAATCTTTTTGCTAATCTCAATAATAATGCTATCCCATTTGGCGGAATAAATGTGATTGTAGTAGGTGACCTTGCTCAATTACCGCCTATTACAGGTCAACCTGTATTTCGTTCAATGACCTGAACTTTATTCTATCCTTATTCTTAACGACTCCATAACGTCAACAATCTGACGGCAGATTCTATCAAATATTACAAGAAGTTCGAATGGGTAATATATCTGCTGAAACATGGCAGATACTCAATCAAAAACATTCTGAATTTTTATTACGTTTAGCAATTGATGCACTTCTCAATACTACTAATATTATCGGCTTTAGAGAAAATGCTCAGCAAATTAATCGAATGATTTGTAATATATTACCTGTTCCTGAAGGAAAATTCTTTATATCACAAGCTGTAGATTCAGTAAATTCCATATCGTGGGATTCTTGTTTTTCTGAAAACTCTTTTAAAAGTAAAACAAATCTACCTTCTTCTGTAAGATTACAACCAGATGCTCATGTTATGTGTCTTAATAATTCTTTATTTGAGCAAGGAATTTGTAATGGAACAGTTGGAATTATTATGGATTTAAACCTTATCAATCATTCTGTTTAAGTAGCATTTTCTATAAGAGGTTCGATAATAGATACAACCATTTACAAACAAACACATCACTTTCAACTATTTGAAAATAACTATCACAGAACTCAATATCCACTACAGATCTGCTTTGCTCTGACTGTTCACAAAACACAAGGCTTAACTTTACCAAATGTTCCTCTCGCTTTAGATTAAAATATCTTCTCTGTAGGTCAAACCTATGTCGCTTTTAGCAGATGTTCTACCTGGGATAATGTTGAGATTTCTCATCTTGATAGGTCAGCATTCATAACAAATCAGGATATGATCCTAGAATATCAAAGATTACGTAATATTTCATGATTAAATCCTTATAATTTTTGATCATAAAATGCTTATTTTTTAAAATAAAAATGATAAAACATTACATTATCTGACTGATACCTTTTTTAAATATCAAGATCTTTTTATTAGATAAATTATTTAACTAAAATCATAATTTGCTTATCATAATCTTTAATTTAATTAGAAAAAAAATATACCATATCAAAAAAAAAAACATATATTAAAAATCTTCAAATCAATCATTTATGCTTTTTTTATTAAAAAAAATTATAAAAAAATAATCTACTCATCATGATCATCATTCTCTGTATGACAAATTACGTTTGTATTACTCATTGCACTACTGATACTGGGAAAAGAGAACTCGCTAGTTTTTTTCGTAATTTTGTATAGTACTTACTGACTTTAAGTTCGTAAAACAACCATTTATGGAAACCTATATATATATGACACATAATCAAAATGTCAAACTATTCTTCGCTATTTCGAGTACTTTCGCCATCCCAGGTACAAACTAAATTTGAGGAAAAGTCCCTACCTGCTAGGTCTAACGTGTATCCATAAAGTCTTTACTTGTGATACTGAAAATTACTTTTTTTGAAACTTGTCTTTAACTCTCGATTTCCGCGTTTGCAGATATACCGATATTGTGCTAGGCTGTTTAATTTTAGGTGAAAGTTTTTTTCATCTAGGTATCAATATCCAAGAAGTCCCGAGTATTTCATTCCTCAAAGAAGAAATCAAGAAGAAGAAAGAAAATGACTTTCGCGGTATTGACCCCGACAACTTGAAGTTGTGGAAGGTTGAGATCCCAGCCGGAGACAACAGGCTGAAACAACTTATGTCTAACGCCGAAATTGATATTGATAGTATTGCAAAAGACCTTGGAGGTGCGGTGTTTCTAGACCCAATGTTAAATATCACTAGATATTTCCCAGAAACTTATAATCCTCCAGAAGAGCACGTCCACATCCTCGTACAACCGCCAAAGCCCGCCACCACTGGTAAGTGTCTCCCAATGGTTTACCTCTCGAACATGAAATTCGCGTTATCTCACTTCCTATATTTTTTTTATTCGATTAGGGAAAAGGAAAATGGTAGAGGACGAGGACGAGGAGTTTCGAGCAAAAAAAGAAAAACTCCAACAACAAGGTATTTTCTTTTAATTTTGACCTTTATTAAAATAAAAATCCTAACTTGACTTGCATCTTTTCCAGATATGGAAAAATTTCGAAATTTAATTGAAAGCTTATCAACGATCAACACACAAGATCAAGTGTTCAAAGTGCCAAAATTACCGGGGGATGATGGAGATATGGCTATTTATAACCGAACATGTTATAAATATTTATGTAAGTTTATACTCGAAGATAAAGAATACAAGCGATACCTTGTGACTGGCAATCCAGGCGTCGGAAAAACATTCTTTGGAAGATTAATGTTAATAGAGCTTCTTAAGAATAATAAAGCAGTTTTGTTAGATTACGAAACTATTACGGTATGGGTTTATCCTTCAGGTGAAATATACAAGATAGAAAACAAGACACTGTACAGGCAAATAGCAGAACAACCAGATGTCTGGTGTATAATTGACGGAAAAAGGGACCAAGTGGGTCATGATTTTTCTAATGGAAAGTTAATTATGGTAAGTTCACCAAAGAAAGCAATAATTGGAGATTTTGCAAAGCAGTGGTGCGCAGAACTATTCATGCCAACATGGAATGAGGACGAGCTTAAAGACTGTTGGAAACATCTATATGAAAGAAGATTGACTCTAAAATCATTAGGAGATAAGTTCAAACTATGTGGGGGGATTGCAAGGTGGATCTTTACAATATCACTGGAAAATATTGAAATGGCCATCGAAAAAGCAATTAAAACAGTTAAATCGGAAATACTCTTTCACCAAGGCCAAGTCCTCTCAGGTGATGAATATACTCATAAATTAATCCATATACATACCAACATTGAAGAGATGGGTAAATTTTCGCCGTACACAACGTCAACTTGCTTCTTTGCATCAAAATATGTAGCAGATAGATGCTTGGAACAATTACAACTAAATCATAAAAAAGAACTATTTGATTTTATCAATAATTCAAAGGACATAACACAATTGGGGGGCTTTCGTGGAACTTTGTTTGAAATGGTCGCGCATACGATAATTCGTCAAGGAGGGGACTTTCGAGTACGTGAACTCACAGATGATGGTACAGGATCCGAATCTATTCATAGTTTTGATTCTCTAGAAGAAAATTTTTTTGATAATATCGGGGAGATACAAGGACAAGTAAAATATTTCCGGCCAACTTCGAAGACTTTCGAAAGCATAGATAGTTATGCTCATACAAATAATCTATTTCAAGTTACCGTTTCTAGGAAGCATAGTATAAAGCAAGATGGATTGAGAGCGATAAAGGGTATCTTGGATGAAGATTTTGACGTCCGTATTTACTTTGTCTTGCCAAGTGAAATATTTAGAACATTCAAAAGAAAACAGTCTTATGAGAATAAGGGGGAAGGAAAGGTATTTGACTCTTGGATTTATAACATAACACAGTACGCATTATGCGTAAATCTTGAATATTAATTTGTTAATTTCATTATTCGTATTTCGGAGTAAATTTAGCAGAGGTAAAAAAAATAAAATAATTCTAATCTTGGAGAAATATACCGCATCACGAAAATCAGATGAATCATAATTTACAAAAGAAAATTTGAGGCAGTCCTGTATATAAAAAATAAATTACAATTGACTTGTTCTCGTAATACATGATGTCGTCTAACCAAATTTATGATCGAGAAATATATAGAGTATGTAACTAGGTTATTCATTAGGGAAAATTATCGTATTATCACATCATAGGTGTAACCGTGAAGAATCTTCACGATTATAAAATCACGTGAGTTTTCAAGTTCCACTAAGAGGGAATTCACCTGAACACTTTGAACTTTTTATTTCAATTTTTGTCTTGACAGCGAGTTTGACCTTTATGTGATCGCAATTCAAGATGCCAATGATGTCACGCAGTGGTTATGAAATACGCATCTGTTATAATCCCCATACTTTATCCATATCGGCTTGATCGTGACATTTTGTCACGGTTTTTAAAAAATCACGTGCGCGTTAGCAATTATTCACGCAGATCACAAAAATTTTTTATTAATTCATGCGAAAAATAAATACAAATATTGGGACGTAGCCCATGATACATATTATTTTTTGATATTTTTTTTTGATCCTAGCCCTCTTGCTAGCATCACATCTATACCACAATTGGCAAAATGTATTATTAGTATCGAAAATTTTAGCCGACCGGTTAAGAATTTTGGGGTCGGTTCCAACATCTGCTTATTAAAAAAAATTTAAATTGAGATATAATCTAGTTTCTCTGATAGTTTTATAGGTATATTACAATCACTAATGTCAAGCTCTTTAAGCCTTGAACATGAACGAATAATATTACAAATCGCTATTTCAGAAAATTCTTTGTGAAAAGAAATATTCAGATATTCTAATTTATGGCATGAATTTGCAATTGCATATAGACCTTTATCATTATCAATCCATCATCATAACCCTTTCGTAAGTTAAGATACTTCAGATTGGGGTATGATCTTGCTATTCAATTTAATGTTTTATCATTGAATCCCACACTAAAAAACAAATTTAAATGAATTATATTTGGGAACAGATGCATAATGCTTTTGAATTTTTATCTGAAAGTGAATAGTGTAGAATTTTTAGATGAGTTACATTTAAGCAATAAACTGGCTTTTGCTCTTTATGTATGATTTTCATAAAAATTTTTCATGTGTTACTCTTCTTTAGCTCGATGTGTTTCTATAGAATAGGAGTACTGCAATTATATCATAATCAGAAAACAAATAGGATGGAATAAAGAGATTTATCTATCGCTAAGAAATATAAAATCTGTTCTAATACTTCTGCTATATTAAAAATGCTTGTATATGTCATAAATAATATATGCTGTATTTTTAAACAAAAAAATAAAATTATGTGATCATTGCTTCAGATCTGTATGTTTGAAATCATTGGTTTTTTGAATTTGAATAAGTCTGTCTTCTCGCAGAATAACACAAAATCACCATAGATTATTAATCCTTGTTTTTTTATATCTATTTTTGCCTCACGAAACTATAATCCTAATACAAGATCTGCTTTCAGCTTTCAATATCTATGAAATCATTAAAAACATCATCACCATTAGTTGATACTAGTCTATCTTCCTTTTTGTATTGGAAAGATAAATCAGACATTTCAACCTGTATTTTTCTTTATATTTAATATACTTCATTTTGAGCTTATCAACCAAGTTTCTTCTAATAAAATTTACTCTAGATGATGTGTCTATCAACCTTAACTGTATAATATCTACATTTTGCTTTCATTGCTTTATGATGACTTTTTATCATTATCTTTCTAAAAATGCCAAACTTTACATTTATATAAGCTAATTTAAGTATTGTGTTTTATAACTAAATATATTTAATCAAAAATATCCTTCAGATTAGCATTTCAATAGCTAATGATTACTGCTCTGAACTTAGCAATGAGATAATCAAATGATCATTACTTCAAATTACCAACTGCTTAAATCTTTCTCAGTCATATCTTTCTTATTACTTATGAGAGACAGCCTTTTTTTCTCTTACCTCAATTATCTCAACCGAATCAGAATTTTCAGAAGACTCAGATGAATAGAAAGAACCTTACATTTTTTAATACATAGAAAAGTTACTATTTTTTGTATTAAGTCAATCACAGTCTTCCTATTTATATATTTGTCTAAATCTTTTAATTTGATTTTTAAAAATTCTGCATTTTTTTCAATCTTTTTACCTTTCTTTCTAAAGTATTATGTTAAAAATAATAATTCTCCAATTGTTTTTTTAATGTCTTATTTTACCCGAAAAGTATATTATACATATTTACATTTTGTTAAAATTCAAATAATTTAGCTATTTTCTCTATACATCTGATAACTTCCTATTCAATAAATATATTAGATAAATGTTTTTGATTAGTTAATATTTTTGCAATATATTATATATGCTATTATTTCGAACAAAAAAATAAATTCCTTTTTTACATTTTTGGTACTTCAAAAAATAAGCAAACAAATATATAAAGAAGTAATAAAGGAGGTATTAGCTCTTATCAAAAAACATAAATGGTTTTGCTTAATTGTAAAGTATTCTATGAGCTCACATATTAACTATATCCTTCTTTGAAGCAGTATTTTTAGCTTTTATCAAAGATTTAGAATAGACTTACTTAATCATAAGGTTGTCTTTTTTTGCAATAACAAACTATAGTATATTTATTAGATAGAAAAGTATGATTGACAAGAGAGTGCTGAAGGGCTTGACTAATATAAGTGTTAGCTTTTGATAGATTTTTTAGACTATACACTTTGCTAGTATATAATTTATGCAAAAAACTAGAAAGTAGTGGTTTATAAGATTTAAGGATAAAATTTTTTTTTTTTTAAAAATACATTTAAGTATATAGATCCAGACCTTTCTAGATCCTTTAACTCCCCAGAAATAATTGCTTCCTGAATCTATGTAAGCAATTCACTTATTCGCTTCTCATTCTTTTCCAGTGATATAAATACTTGAGGAATATCTTATACTCTCTGGTTTTTTGCATATTTAATTATACTTCTATTAGATATATGTAAGTTTTTAATTTTAGCAGGGTGGATACAAAGCATGATCATTACATAAGCTAGGGCCTATTTATCAGATATATTAGATATATCATACAAATCTAATCTTTCTTAACTGATTCTAATGAGAAGTGATCTGTATAATAGATCCTTTCATTTTTACATCACTCACTATGCTTCTTTTGGATTTTTTTAGATGCGCGGGTTGTCTTTCTATCTAATATTGTAGAGATTATTTCTTTTGAAATATTAAGACCCCTTAATTCTCTTCAAAGCTTAGAGAGACGAGATAAACCAGCGATAGGATTAGAGATTATTTCAACTAAAATTCTAGATACTGCTTTTATATCTCTTTCATTAAGGTTATTATGAACAATATACTAAGCTATTCCTTTAATAGTTTCTCCTTCTGTGATATTAGCATTACTTGATATATATTCATTCCCCAGCTGGTTTCCTTCTTTAGGAATTACTTGGCTTTTACTTTACCTAATTCTCTCATGAGGAATTAATGTAAATGCCTATTCTTTGCTAAATTCATACCTTTTTGAAGGCAATTACAGGCTTAACGTCTTTTTCTTTATCTATCTTTAGTATACCAGTTATCAAGAGCTCAAGTATTTCTGACGCATATAGTCTAAGCTCTTTAAGGCTCATCTCTTTAATGAGTTTGTTGTCTGTAATGAATTTAGTTGTAATAGTAGACATGAAGTAATTAGGTGATACTCAGATTATAACTTCAATTTAAAAAAATTCTCAATCAAAGATTTTAGGATATGCTTTAACTTTTTTCTAAGTAATTTGTAGAGAAAAAAGGTATTCTAGCTCTGTGTAGCTTTGGCCAAAGGTGTTAAAGCAAAGGAATTTTGAATATCTATAATAAAAGTGAAAATGAAATTTTAAGATTATTAATGATAAAATTATCTTATATTGATCGTCTAATCTGCCAATACATCAAAAGAAATAATTTGATTTATAAAAAAGGATGCTAGCATGAATTTGAATATGCCAGACATTTTAACACCTGTCATAAAATAATATGCCTTATCTATAAGAAAGAAACCTATTCTAATACTAGAATCTGTAACACACATAGCAAAATTTATGATTATGCTTGATGCGAAAGTAAAAAAACTCCTTCAATTAAAAATCTTTAGAAAAGAAAGCTTCTTACATTTGCAGGAGATATTTCCTTACCATAATTTTGCTTAACTATGAAGTGATTTTAAATATCTATAATAAAAGTAAAAACAAAGTTTTAAGATTATTAATATTATAATTACCTCATATAGATTATCTATTTTACTAATATATCAAAAAAGATAATTCGATTTGTAAAAAAGAATGCTGGCATGCTTTAATATGTGTCAGACACTATAAAGCCATCCTAATAAAATATGCTTTATCAGTAATGAGTGAACCTATTTTCATATCAGAATCTGTAGAATACATAATGAAATTTATAATATTATCTAGCATAAAAACAAAAAGAAGAAGCAACAGATTTTGGTTGTTTTGCTTTAATCTCCTTTGATTAAAGATCTTTAGGAGAGAAAGCTTTTTACTACATCCTTACTATAATCCAGAAAATTTTTTGCAAAATAGTTGGATTATCTCTTGCAGAAGCTATATTTCAAGAAAGGTCTGAAGTAGGTAGCAGTCTTATAAGACTGCTACCTACTTGTGTTATAATGCTACCTACTTATCGTTAAATGCTACCTACTTATCGTTATACTGCTACCTACTCACGTTATAATGCTACCTGTTTTTATGTTTTCGATTCTCTGTGTTCTTTTTATTTCATTGTAGCTATCCACTTGATTTCATTGTTCTGCGATCTTTTTGTTACCTTGTAGCTATCCACTTGATTTTATTGCTCTGTCCTCTTTTTATTATCAAGGAACTATTCATGTGTTTACAATGCTTTGTGTTCTTTTTATTTCTAAAGAGCTATTTGCTTGTTTTTCTGCTTCTGAGCCTGTTTAGTGGCCTGTTAAGATATCGAGGATGCTTCTTTTTTGCGTCTATTTAGTTGCCCTTTAAAATATTGAAATGGTGTAAAAAAAGAGATGACAGGTGACGCAGTGAATTTGTGATTAATTTTTGCCAGCTCTATGCTATAACTCTAGCCGATCTTTTGGACATGTGATTTAAGGATCCAATTTGGTGTCGTGATGGTATCATGATAGCATCCTGATAGTGTCATGGAACTTTCCTGGAACTGTTATAGAACTGGCAGAGAGCTAGAGTTTCTATTAGTTTGCTAGTTTTATGCCAGCTTGGGTTTCAAAATATTATATCCAAAGTTCTGGTTGAAATTGTAGAATAATGTTGGCCGAAATTAAGCGAATAAGTCTTATGCGAAGACTATACTGTAGCTGAACACATATCTAGAAAGATGGAACCTTCTTCCAATTTTTTATATAGATTATCCACTTTCAGATACATACCTACTTGTCTTCCTTTCACGATTTGTTGACTAAGTTCAGATGAAGCCTTCTGCCATTTTTATATAATATAATTCTGCAGAAGGCTTCATGTCACATCCAAGTATATACTAGCGATAGGGTAGCCTTCTGCCATTTTTATATAGGAGCTGATCTATTAAAAGTAGGTTTCGAGACATAGTAAATCATATGATCTGTATCTCAATTTTAATAGAATATTACCCATATAATATAATTACGCACTTACCTATACTTTCAGATACAACTGGATGCCTTTCTTCTATGATTTGCTCACTAAGTTTGGATGAAGCCTTTTGCCATTTTTATATAATATAATTACACAGAAGGCTTTATATCTTTTTCAAATATATACCTGGTATATACTATTCAATAGGATAAGCTTCTCCCCGCAGTATACTTCATGACGCTAGATACATACTTTGAAATGAGGGTTTCTTCCTATAATGATTCCAAAGTTACCTCTATATCATACTCAAGTACATATCTAGAAAAGTGTATGCAATAATTCTATAGCCAGATTTGCGTCAATAAAGCTATTTATGCTCAAATATATACTAGTATTAGTGTAGTCTTCTGCCAATTTTTTATATAATAATTACGCAGAAGACTACACTTTTTTGTTGTATAACAGATTACCTTCTTTTACGATTTGTTGACTAAAATTGCTATACATCTCTTTTGCATTCATCAAAAAAATAGAGGACATTGGCTGGGTATATATCCGAATACATACCCGAATACATATAAGTCTTCTTCCAATTTTTATATAATAATTACAGAGAAGACTTATCTTCTGGATGTATACTATTTTGCCTTTCTTTTGCAATTTGCTTAGCATGTTCACTAACACCTCTTTTTCGATGGATCCAAAAAATATTTTAAACATTTTTGATTTTATAGAGTTAGTATAACTTTTCGATCTAATACCATGCATACCATGACTATTTTCGACCAAACTGATCACACTAGATCTAGCCCAACTAAGGTTGCTGGATGAAATCAAGAGTTTAGACAGACGTTTAAATAGTAAAAGTAAACTTGGTTAAATTATATTAAAACCTTATTAAAAAATCTGTGAAATTTGGAAAAAGGTAAAACTATATCAAAGCTTATAAAAATGGCGAAACTATATCAAACACTTAGTAAAAATTTGGCGAAACTAAAGGTTTTACCATTTTGCCAAATCCAAAATTCCTTTAGACAAGCAACCTTAAGCCCAACGCTCGCCCGCTATGACAACGCTGAGTCTGATGAATATTTAAGTGACTCTAGCAGTTATACTGATAATGAATCCAACTTGGAGTCAGATAATTATAATAATTGCGAGTATAATTATGAATCAGATAATGAAGAAGCTTTCTGCGTCTCAACCAGCATTATTAGGCCTTCATTTGTACACCTACCTGTTAATGTTACATATACTTTAAGAAAAAGTTCAATGATAATTTTTCTCCTAAGAATTTGATAAGTGAAATCTAAAAAATCATTTTATCACCACCTAGAGATATGTCAGATGATAAAGGCTTACTAGAATACCTTCCAATCTATTCATTTCTCTTTCCGAATGAAAAAGGGTCTAGTTTATATAATGCTTATAACCAGGATGAAGTGGATAATAAATTGGTTATCAAAATTGACCAAGATGAGGATTGTGCCCCAAAGTTTTCTGTTGCAGATGATATTTCAGAAGTATATGGCCTACCCGAGATTCATAAATGTATTAATGACCAAAACCCTTTAAGAGCTGTGATAAATATAGATGCCTCACAGGAAGATATGGAAATATCTGGTGTTAAGACACAAGAAGTATTCATTCGAATCTGCTTTTCTTTCATAAGAGCTTTGTATCAAATTCTTGAATATACTTGGGAGGAAATTCTCGAAGGATTAATAATTGCTACATCATCAGATTCTAGCAAATGTAGCTACCATATTTTATATGTACCAGCTCTTCTTATTGATCATCGTGAACTCAAAGCATTCACAGAATTAGTATATACCTTAACTGGAGAAAAATTCGGCAAGTTTATTGATCGGAAATTACCTGGTTATAACTTTAACCTTCATCTTATCGGTTCAGCAAAAAAAGGTCGTATAAAGAAAATTCTTCAATTCTCACTAGATAATGGGTGGAATGAATTCAATCACGCTAGAGTTCAACCACCTACTAGCTTAGGGCTTGAAGTAAGACCTTGAATGCTTAGTACAGAAAAAAATAATAATCTGCTAAGAATATCCGTGGGTCAGGATGTATTACAGAAATTCACAAATCTAGTTTTGCAAAAATATTCTAACTATCTTAGAGATTGGACTATCGAAGAAAAGAAAGAGACAAAAGAAAACTTCGTATATTTTAGCCGAAAAGCTTCATTAGAATGCCCACTCTACAAACGTATATATGACAAGGATCAGCAGTAGTTCAGTCGTATATACGCTAGTGGTGAATTCATCGTAAAATGTTTTCAGCAGAATAGTGATGAGTGTGGGAAAAATTTTGAATGTGACCCATCTATTGCAGAAAAAATATAACAAGAAAATAAAAAAAATTTTCAATCCTCTCACAAGGTCAAGGTTCCGGGTTTCCCTAAAGCCTTCTTAAAATTCCCATCTTGGGTCAAGTACAATGAACCTCTTTCAGTAATAGAAACGTATGAAGAGAGATATGTAAGACCATTACCTAATAAAGGTAATATTTATGTAGGGTCTCCTTAGGAAACTGGAAAAACCTATGTTCTTAAACATCTCACTATTTCTGATGACGTAAATTTGCTTGTATTATCCACGTGTTACTCTTCTTCTAATGCTGTTACTACAAGACTTAATCTCAAATTATATTGCGATATTGATGGTAATATAAATCTATCTGATCACAAGAGGGTAGTATGTCAAATAGAGAGCTTACATCGCATTACTAATAATTGCAAATATAATAAAAATGTAAATGTCGTCTGAACCAATATGACTTATGGCTTGATGAAATAGTATTTATAATTGCTCAAGCGCAAAGTTGTTTAGCGAGACAATCAATAGAGAAATTATTTAAATTAATCCAAGAGGCTAGACGTATTATCGTCATGGATAAATGACCTTACTGATCTTAACATTGAATGGATTAAGACCCTTTGTAAGGATATCCTTTCTCTATTATTCATAATACTTACCAGCCTTAGAAAAGCAAGATGTTTCGATTGGTTCCTAATAAAGAAACAGTATTAGCTGAACTTTGGGATTGGGCTAAGCAAATGATTTCACTACCTTTTGAGGAACGGAAAAGCGCATCACTTATCTGCTACCTCAGAAAGGATGTATAAGGAATAGTTTGTGTCCTTAAAACTGATTTTCCAGAGTTAAGGATCAAGAAATATCATGGTAAATCTGATCCAGTAGAAAAGGCTCATGACTTCAGTAACGTGAAAGAAACATGGATGGATGTAGATCTAGTGGCATATACTAGTACTCTAAAAATAGGAGTATCATGCACTAATCCAAAATTTGAGTGGGCATTCTGTCTTTTTAATAGCTTTATAGAAACAAATGCTGGAACGAATCAAATGTTATTCCACATGCGATGTATTAAGGATTATATATGTCATATTGAGCAGAGATCTTCTAACGTTTCCATTATAGAAAAGGAATTATTTCAGTGGTTATTAAATGCTAAACGTGAATGTCTTCCACAAGAACTTCAGAATAGAGGAATTTTTTCAGATATTGATTCTATTATCCGGAATAAAGATGTGCCAACCATTCGATTATGGGTAGCATTCATATTAGAGAAATTCCGTTCTCAACGATTATTTGGTTGGAGAATGATCGATTTTCTCAAAGAGACAGGTATGATAATTCCATCATAGAACCTATTTCTAAGTCTGATGAAAACATTATATCATTATCTCAAGCTGTGAAGGCAAATTCCTCTATCATTAAAGCAGAGGAGATATCAGATATATCTAATGTTACTATTCTCGATCGTGAAACTGCAGAATTTTTAGAGAATAAACCAAAGAAGACTTTAGACAAGATGTGGTCTCTAGAGTGATATCATATTGTAGATTGCTATGAGATTCTGCCTGAATTATTGACTGAGGATTTTGTCTCAAAATATGGGAATTTTAATCATATGAAATAGTTTAGAGCTTATCGGCAATTACGAGATGCTGGTACTGATAATGAAATGGCTGTTGAGGCTATTACCCATAAAGATTACAAAGAGAATAGACTCACAACTGTGACCTGAGCTGAGAAACATAATATCTGTTTAGAATTATTAAGGATTTGCATACCAGTTAGAGACATTGACGATAGAATCAGATATAAAGCTAATGATATTAAGACGTATTTGAATTCTCCTGAATCAAGATCATTTCTTCAGAATTTAGTGCCTAAAATAGCTCGAGTATTTGATAATACAGATGCACTGCATAGTGCTAAAAATCAGGATTAAAAACAATTCAGGCAAAACTTGGTTTACTGAACTTAGCACTTTACGCAACATATGGGTTAAAATTTAAGGCTATAGATAAGAATCTCAAACATTATCATCTTGTTAGATCATTCGATAACAATGGCTCTTCTGAGTTACCCCTATACCAAATAGAAGAAGAAATATACTGGGAAAGTGGTAAAGATACCCAATATGCTTATAGTAAGCTCACATGAATTAGGTAATATTTCTAGTTCTAACAAAGCGAATACTACGCAAATTACAGAAGATATTCAGACTTTATTTGACATTGCATAGGCTGGTTTCATTATACTAGACTTCATAAAATAGATTATTACATATGAAAATAAGTCTTCTTCCATTATTTTATATAATATTTCTAAAGAAGACTTATCCTCACAATTAAAGATGGGAACTATAATTAATATGTTGCAACTTTTAATGTTGCAACTTACGTTGCAATTAGTTTTAACCTATATATGTTGCAACTTATAATGTTGCAACATATGTTGCAACTAATTTTAGCTTATGTTGCAACATTTTGTAAATTTGAAATCAATTGCTGTACCATCTTTACTCACAATATACTCCTTACCTGGATTCACAAAGTGAATTCCTTGATCCTTTAGATAAATACCACTATTGTTTAAAAAGACACTAAAAGTGGAAGACTTTTATCTGATAGTACCTAGTAGTATTTTTTCCTCACTCTTAGGTAGACAATTCTGAGGTCTTTATAAGTTGAAAGGCCTCAACTCCATACTTCTTTCTCATCTGATAATTTAGTGCATTGTTAAATGAAATAACTTCGACCTAATGATTACATTTCGATGAAAATACAATCATTAGAACCGTCTCATCGAAAGCTCCCCAACGAATATAAAAACAAAGTTATTGGACCAATAGGAGCGGAGATAATTCGAAAAGAGTGATTGCTATTATAATTCTGCAGATCATTACTAAAGAAAGCCGTAATTTCTTAAGCCGCAGCCCGACGATCAAAATGACCGAAACCTCGGAAACGATGATAACGTCGTTAACTAAGTTTATATAGTTGTTTAAGTTTACTTGGTTTCTTATGT